GCCGAAGTCCTCGAATAAACTCGTAGTAGATGGCGCCTCAGAGATGGCCAGACAATCTGGTCCTGATGAAGTGAATCTAAAGATGGATTGGTTGTTATATCGCCTCCAAGCTGAAAGGGTGGCTTGTCTCAAGAACCTGGAGGACAGGGCCATCAGATGAGCAAAAATCTAAGAATAACTTGGAGTAAATAGAACTTTAGGACACTTTTCGAGTCAAATACACTTAATTGTTGAGCTTACTTCCATTTCGAGTGAGAGTGTTGGGTGAAGAGATTCGAAGGTCAGTTCCACCAGAAGACGACGGCGGATTCCTCTTGACCAGCGGTCGATTGCCATTACTGGAACATTCATGCTGACGCTGTTTCTGAGGTAATCCCATTTGATTCCGGTGAAAAGGTGCTAAGCTTTCGTTCGTCAAGCTAACGAGTCAAGAGTTTTCTTGACTTGTTAGCTCGAATTTTGTTGTGAAGATGATACCTCGCTCTGATGATGTCCGTCATATGACGGACGAAGGATATTGCCTCGGTAACAGCCTCAGCATGAATCTTCCGATAAAGCCAATCGACAGCTGGTCAAGAGGTATCCGCCATCCTCTTCTGGTGGAATTTACCTTCGAATCTCTTTACCAAACACTTTCACTCGAAATGGAAGTAAGCTCAACAATTATGAAAGAAGAGATTTCTCAAAGCCCAACTTTTCTTCACATACACTTAATTGTGTCGCCTTACCAGTCTTTTGCCTTTCATCTTTACGCATCAGTAAACCTTTTGAGCAAACAACGTGACACGTCGATCAGACTTAAGGATACGCAGTGGGATCTCGCTGCCATAAGGTCCCGAGTGTTGATCTGCCCTTCAGATCAGCGACCAACGATGAGGCATTCCTTAGGGTGTCCTCATTGCAGAGTCTTCCATTTGACAAGGGTTATCCAAAACTTGGCAGCATCCGCTGAGTTTTCTCCAATATAGCATTACTTCCTTTCTTAATCAAAGGTTTTGGACACTTTTGATATATACTTATTCAATGTATAAAAGTACGGCTTATTGTATTGACACATAAGTCTGATATCCCCAATGGAGGTGCTGATGCGATTGCAAAGCTAAGTAGAAGCTGCAACCTGACCTGAGTGATATGCATTGGTATCCCAAGGCCTACTCATTTTATTGTTGGAAAATCTATTTTTCAATCCATTCATCACCTTAAGCAACCCAGGTTGACGCAAGCTTTTGCATAATTTAGGTCAGAGATTAAATAAATTCCTGGTAAAAATGCTTCTGCTACAACGATCTACTCATTAAATACTCATGGCTGAGCCCTTTAACCTATTATTTACTATAAAATAAAACATAGCCATTAATTCACCTTTAACATAATCTTATATCATCCTAATCGAGCTTTCTTTTCCTACTCTGTTGCCCTCTCTCCTGATGGATTTGCGATCTTCAGAGGATATAAGTAAGTATATTCCATACCCACATTCCCACACATAATGACGCGCATACAACTCCTTCGAAAATTACTCTTTTCTGTTCTGAGCTGTCCGTAATCGAAGCTTTTATCCTTTGGCTCTCCCGATTTTACGTTCAACTAAGCCTAATTGAATAATGAATTAAATGTATACATTCCCTAAACTCCTCACGTTTGTCTTGAAGCCATACTAATTTGAGTACTAAAGATCCTCTTTCCTATTCCACACATTGCGGTCTGATTCATGCTTTGAAAGACTGCATTAGTGTAAATGAAGCAGCTCAGATAGCCAATCACCTTTGAAGTTTTAAGTATTTATGCTTATTTTGGCCTAGGTCGAATCCATACTGTTCATTTCCTTGGTTCTTTTGCCAAACATGGCCACAACAGCAACCTAGAAAAGAGGACTAGCGACGCCTGGAACGGCCAGATTGAAAGATCTCCGCAGTGAGATCGGCCTGCAAGCCACCTTACTATAAATGCTTGCACTAACTGCACAAAGCTTATTGTATCTGGCTCAACAACCTCGGGTCTGTCCCAAAAGTTCGCTAGGAATATTAAAAGTAATTAAAAAGGAGAAATCAGAAGATCTGATGATGACAGTCAATTCTAGATAAATAGATTTTAAGAAGACGTCGGCTACGCTGAATGGAGAAGTTTCTCCATACGACAGGATAGAGTCGTGAGGAGATGCGCTGAAAAGGGTGGGAAATCATTTATCGCCATGTCTCCTTACAAAGACTGGGTACTCTTCAGAAATTTTTAATCGGTAGAGCAGATACCACGGCACAGCGCGTCTGATTGGGAACATGAAGAAGAAAATCGTAGGATTTATGTTTTGTCTAATAAGATTTATTTGGGACCAAGAAACTATGCATGCGACCATGAGATACTATGCAGCACCCTTCAGAGCGTGAGGTATAATGATTGACTTGGAAACCACGCTAACTATACCGAAAATAAATAAAATTTTTGAAGGATGCATGTGAAATGATAAAATATGTGTGTGTGTGTTTGTATATACACTCCTTGATAGGATAATGTGCTTGAGTAAAAGAAAGTCGTGGAGAACACCAGAAATGTGAGTGGAAAGGTTCCTTAAAAGTAGTACCAATTACGGTCAGTTCTAGATTTCGATTCTACGGAGGAGTTTGCATGAAACTGAAAGGGTGAAGAAAGTTGCCTAAGTTGCAGTGACCAGTTAGTTATACGAGATAATTGGATTGCAATGAGATGGGTCGCTGCATCCTATTGTTAAGCGACCATGAAACACGGCATACCGACGGAAAGTCTTGAAAAAAGCCATAAATATCGGGGGATAGCTGGTCCTATGAGGATTTATGTCGGATTGCCTTGGTTTCTTACGTCTGGCTTGCAAACCCGACATTGTTTGATGGCAGATGAACAGCGGAATAGTGAGATATCCCAATTATACCTTTTGCTTAGTTACACCCTGCATATAATAACCTAACAATTTTGTCCTTCTTTTTATTAAGAATGTGGCAAGGATAAACTTGCAGAAGAGACAAAGTGTGACGCAAATGGAGAAAAGAAGGTCAATTGGACCTTCTATCGGGCAATCGGCGGAAAATGCAAGACCTTCCAAAGATCGGTCAGTCTAAAGTGCAAGTGTGCAAAGCCGAAAAAGGCAATCACTTGCGAGAACCGGAAACAGGTGACTTTACTTCAGACGGAGAAGTTGACGCCATCAGGAACGTGTGAATTTCAGGTAGGCATATTAAGTACATGTAATTTTTCCTTCTGGGATCCAAAGCAAATTAAATGTAAACAAGTTAAGAATGGATTTTTTGTGATCTCCAGGTCTGGGCGACAGAAAAGGGAATTAGTTTTGTAGGTCTCCCTGGTGGATCAAATTGAGACAAAGTTGCAATAAAGCGGCTATGAAAAACGTATTAACTGCATTACTTGGCTTTGGTTAGTTCAACGAAGTAGCCAAGGAATATTAGATTGGTTGAATAAAGTTGAGCCCTTTTATGTCACTTAAGATACTGTAAGGTCTTAGAGAAGATTTTTTCACAATCATATGGACGGGCCATACAATCCCTTAAATTTCATTTGACATTGCTTCCCAAAAGGTTATCTCATCCAATTCGCCAAAGCCTCATTCGTACT